GTGCTCTGTATCAAAAACTATATAAAAATGTGATAAAAAATGTGGTAAAGTAAAAAAAAACAGGAGCTCAGCATCAGATAAATATGGCAAACAAAGAGAAGATGGTTAAATTCAGAAAGAAAAAATATAAAAGGAAGCTGGATACAGCTGTAGCGCGACGATCTGTAGCGCGACAGCTGTAGCGCGACGATCGTAGCGCGACAGCTGTAGCGCGACGGCTGTAGCGCGACGATCGTAGCGCGACGATCGTAGCGCTACAGTTGTAGCGCTACAAGTCTGAACGCTGCCTACTATAGTGCTTCATGTAACCTTCGGAGCTCACAGGACAATTTGGTCATTCGGGATCCGTGGCACTAATTTCTTGTATGAAGTCCTATTTCGCTGCGTATAACATCATGAACGCTTTTCCACGACCGTCTCTCTTTTACCACATTGTAATGCACGCTTTCCGAATCGTTCTTTTCTGAATTATTGCGAATTGAATACTGAAGCTTAAAGTAGGTTGAGTTGCGTTTCCCTCGACTCCTGGCGACATCATTAGCTGGGGGAATTTCATTGCATTGTTTGCCTATCCTGACATCTCCTACTAATCAATTTGACCGCGAAAATATTGATCAAACACATGCTTACAAGTTTTTTTCATTCAGAAGTTGCGGAAGTACTGGACAAATTTGTCGAACAAAATTGTTGCCCAAGATGCTGAAGACACTGAAGAGTCTCGTAAAGCTCGATTCGAAAGAAATTATCTCTGGAATCTCATAGCACGCTTCAAGCGCACTCTTGATCGCGTCGATGATGAAAGCAAAGGTTTGCATACTGCCAAACGACGATTTCGTTTATTATTCTAAACGTTTTACAGAAATTGACTTGGAAGAAATCCGATACTGTGAACGGTTTATTGAGCTGATGACCGATTTGGAGGCATTGCTCCCAACAAGGTCTGCTGCCTTACTTTTTTTTCTCTGAAGTGGCGCAGTTCGTCTAGGTGGGGCACTAGTTATACTCAGCCACGTTTGTATAGGCCAGTTGTGACCACCTGTAGATTCCTAACCCAAGTAGTCTACTTGTACCTTGTCGTAGCTACAGAAAGGTTCCACTTTGGGGGGGGGGAGACCTGTTAGATAACTGGAACTAACAGAAGGAATTAGCAAACTAGTTCAGTGCCAAACCCTTCCCCCACCATAGGACGAACAGCGTATTTAAACTTGCCGTCAACTGCAGTAACCTAAATGATTAGTTTATTTGTAGGCGATTCTTCAACGCTGTGCTGCACTCTTCAAAACTAATAACTCATTGTGTGCTTTCCAAGTTGATCTCCTCAGAGGCGGGGTCGCTATTCTGCCAGCTTGTTGAAATGCTGAAATTTTACGCTCGATTTGAAATAAATGATATTACAGGACAACAGCTTACTCACAAGGAGGTAAAGATATTTGTTTAGTTTTGTTTTTCTAAGAATGGGTTCACATATTTTGCGTCAGCGTTTTTGAGTATGTGTCATCGTTTTGAGCGAGAGCGACAAAGAAAATAGAATGGGTCCCTATGTAGGTTAGA